TCTTATCTTTGTTGATTTGATTTCTTTCTGAAAATTGACAATGAACTTTACACATATTAAGAGATTAGCAAATGATTGTTAAATATGTAAATGATTTATAGAATTTAATTTTCAAAAATATAAACACAGATAAGCAGTGTTACTTGGTAAAGTATATACTAGAAATTAAAAGACATAAAGACTGAGAATACAGTTTTTTAATAAAACTATGGGGTTTTGAAAATATACCTGAGAGCTTTATGTTAAAATCCGATGAAACAAAATTTCCACGATACATACTCTTCCAAGTTAGGTAAAGTACATACAGAACTTTAGGACTATTAAGTCAGAATGATTAATATTTATCATTCTTTAAGCAACTAATTTTTTAGCATATCTTGAATTTGACCCGTGGATATATCCAAGTGTATGTGCTTTATTCAAATTTATTTGTTTAACTGACATATAAAATTGTGTATATTTATCAGGTATAACATTATATTTTGAAGTATATACATATTGTGAAATTCTTAAATCTAGACTATTAACAAATGCATTACCTCAGAGTTTTTTTTTTGTGATGAGAACATTTAACATCCCCTCTCTTAGCGTCTTTCAAAAAAATATATGTTGTCATTAAATATCATTACCATGCTGAACAGCAGATCTTTCGAACTTATTTATTCTTCCTCTCTAACTGTAAATATGCATTATTTGACCAACAATGTATTCTTTAATGCAACGCTTCTCCGAACTGCCCCACTGTCTGGTAACCACCATTCTACTCTTTCATAAGATCAGCTTTTTCAGATTCCACATATGAATAATACCATGCATTATTTGTCTCTTTGTGCCTGGCTTATTTTACTTGACATAATGTCTTCCAGATTCGCCCATGGTGTTGCAAATGACCGGATTTCTTTCTTTTACAGTTAAATAATATTTAATTGTATATGCCACATTTTATGTATCCATTCACATGTTGATGGACACTAAGATTGCTTCCATATCTTAATCACTGTGAATAATGCTGCAATAAACATGGGAATGCAAGTATCTTTTTGAAATACTGATTTCATTTCCTTTGGCTATAAACTCAGCAGTGGGATTTCTGGATCATATAGGAGATCTATTTTTAATTTTTTGACAAACCTCCACACTTTTTTCATAATGATCTTACTAATTCATATTTCCACAAATGAAGGGTTCCCTTTTTTCCATAGTTTTACCAACACTGTTATCTTTTGTCTTTTTGGTAATAGCCATTTCAACAGGTGTGAGGTAATATCTTATTGTTGTTTTGATTAGACTTTTCCTGATGTTTAGCAATGCTAAGCCTCTATTTCATAAAACTGCTAGTCATCTTTATGTCTTCTTTTGAAAAATGTCTATTCAGATCTTTTGTCTATTTTTTAAAATTGTTTTTTTTTCTTGCTATTTTGTTGTTTGGATTCCTTGTATGTTTTAGATATTGACCTCTTATCAGATGGTGTGCAAATATTTTCTCCCATTCAATAGATTATCTCTTCACTCCAGTGATTGTTTCCTTTGCCGTGCAAAGAAAATGTACCCAATGTATTATCCTTTGCTAATTTGACTGCAATACTTTTGATTAACAATAATAACTGACTTGCTTACTGATTACGCTTTCCCTTAAAGTGTCTTTATATAGTCTGCATGTGTTGGCAGACCTCCAATTTTTATTTTGTATAACACAATCAGAATCATAGTATTTCTAAAACAAACAAATGCATTTCAAAGTATTCTATTTTATGAAAACATTCAACAGACTACCCTAAAACTTCCTAAAAATTCAGAAACTCTGGAAGGCCAAGAGCTGAGCACTTTAGAGTCACCTATTCCTCACAGCAGACAAAGAATGGCCCCTTCCAGTAATTCCTCTAACAGCTACCAGGTTTCTGCAGTCTTTTTAAGCTGGCACAGAGTGGCTTAAATTCTCAGCTACAACCTGCCTCATCAACCAATCAGGAAGTATAATGGCTATATATTTTTAAAGCGTTTCTCCTGGCAGGAACCCTCGTGATGATTCAAAGAAGTCTTGGGCTGCAACAGCTACAACTACTGTGGCCCCCAGACTCTTCCTCATTAATGTGACCAAGCTTTGAGGACTGTCCTATTCTGTATTCTGTAAGAATATGGCTGGAAAAATAGATAATAATATTTGTAAAAGCAAAACTAAAAACAAACGCACAAATCCTTTCAATTGGGTTTTAGAAAATAGCAAGGAATAGACAAAATAAACTTAGGGATTGTGTCTAAACATGCTATCTGAATATTATCCCAACACATAACCTTCATATACATAATAAAGCAAATAAATATTATATCAATATCTCAATTCCAAAAATGCAGTAAAATCAGAATCACTGGTTATTCTTATAGCAAAAAGTATCAATTAATGTTTGGACACACTAATTGTTATTTAAAATGATAAACAGATATATAAAAATCATAATCATCATGTGAACTTAATTCAAAAAATAATTGGGCTGCTAGAAGACAAAATTAGTAAAACATATTTGTTACTATCAAGGAAATTACAGATTAGTGAGAGCATATGAAGAGTTTATTTTCATACATGAGGCAAGTGTCCTTTGAATTTAACAGCAAAAAAAAAAAATCAGTATTCAGGATGACATTCATGGTAAGTGCATTTTATTATGCTCTGATATTTTGTAATTTTATATTCCACCTATGGTATATAGATATATATACAGACACATATATGTATGGCATATACATATATGTATGATATATACATATACATATATATACCACAGGTGGAATATAAAATACATATTTGTATGGTATATACATATATATACTATATGTGAAATATAAATATATATATTTCTTATCTGAATTCATTCTCTGTTTATATTCGTATGTGTTTGTGTGTATATAAAATCTATGCCATCCATCTGCACAGCTGGCTATGAAAATGAAGTTATACAGCTTTCTGAAATGTGAAAAGTAGTATATGTAAGCCAAGTGCACCAAAATTAATCTTTTTGAAATCAAACATAATACCCCTGGCCAAAATATTTTCTTCAAAAGAAGTATTCTTTTCGTATATTTAACTTTCAAAGTCATATTCGTTGCTTCAAAATTGCACTTTAACGATAGTATTTTTTCAGTACAGGTACTTATAAAATAAATTAAATAACATAGTTCAAACTTAGTAAGTCTGTGTGCTTTAAAAACAAATTCAGGAACTACAGAAATAATTCAAATGACACAAGCAAAAATAAATGTGCATAAAGATTAGATAGATAGATGATACATACATGATAGATAGATTTAAAACAGCAGACAAAACCATAACATTTCTCTGATATACTGACAAGAACAATAAATAATGCAGCTGAGTAATAATTTGAATTAATGAATATGCATATATAGTGTTCTATACATAGGATACATTAATTAACTTACATTAGAGCTTACTATCCTTAGTAACTTCAACTGACTTTCTTAATTTTTCCATTAAAGTAAACTTCACTCTAATTGACGTGAGATGGTATCTCATTGTGCTTTTGATTTGCATTTCTCTGAAGACCAGTGATGATGAGCTTTTTCTTGATATGTTTGTTGACCGCATAAATACCTTCTTTTGAGAACCATTTGACCCAGTGATACCATTACAGGGCATATATCCAAAGGATTATAAATCATTCTACTATAAAGACACATGCACACTTATACTTATTGCAGCATTATTCACAATAGCAAAGACTTGGAACCAACCCAAATGCCCATCAGTGATAGACTGGAAAAAGAAAATGTGGCACATACACACCATGAAATATTATGCAGCCATGAAAAAGGATGAGTTCATGTCCTTTGCAGGGACATGGATGAAGTTGGAAACCACCATTCTCAGCAAACTAACACAAGAACAAAAAACCAAACACCGAATGTTCTCTCTCATAAATGACAGCTGAACAATGAGAACACATGGACACAGGCAGGGGAAGATCACACACTGGGGCCTGTGTGGGGTGGGGGGCTAGGGGAGGGATAGCGTTAGGAGAAACACCTAATGTAAATGATGGGTTGATGGGTGCAGCAAACCACCATGGCACGTATATACCTATGTAACAAACCTGCACATTCTGCACATGTATCCCAGAACTTAAAGTACAATACAAAAAAGTGACCTTTATTCTCATATCTAAATATTGATTGTTATGTTGCAGATAATTTAAATATAGCCAAATTGTATCTTCATCATGAAGACAGTTGTAAGAATTGCTTATAATTTCTTTTTAGTATATCAAAATGTGTCATACTCAAACTTGACTTAATTTCCCATACAATTTCAATAAACTTTGTAAAGGATTCATGACTTTGTAAACCCAAGATACAAAAGTGTAGTTTCTCCTCTATTCTGTCCTCCAGATTTTTTAGAACAATGTGAATGCATGGGTTTCACAAAATTCATCATTAGAAGTGCTGTCTGGGAAGCACTCCCTTTTTTTTTTTTTTTTTTTTTTTCATTCCAATATTCCAGTAGCCAAAAGGAGCTCTAGAAATCTGCAAGCCAGCAACGGCTTAATTTTATGGTGGACTCTTGATGCTATAAATCCATAACTAAGCAGGGGCGGCTGAAAAATGAATGCAACTTTTCTTGAATAATGCTTATTCTGGAAAAAGAAAAAGTCTGATAATATCATATGTTGTTTTTCCAACTGCTTCTTTACCAAATAGACTCAAACTATACTGACACCTCCAACAACTAATAATATAGAGGCAAAACAATAACAGTAGCTAACATTTATTTAGCACCTACAACGTGCTAGAAAGTGTGTTACATATTTTGCATGAATTATCTCAACTAATCCTCTCACAAAAGTAGGTTTTAATATTTTAAACGTATTTTAGATGAGGAAACAAAGATATTTATTTCAATAAATAACATTTTAAATCTACTAAGAGGCAGAAATATGATTGAGACCCTAAGGAACGTTTGCACCCACCTCTGTGTTTAATCACTGCACTATCTGTGCAAAAGTCCATGTAGTAAAAAGCAATGAGATAATCAAAAGGACTCATACTACTATGTTTGAAAATATTGTATTTTCATAAAGAATTATTGAATTAAAAATGCAATAAAATACTTTTTTAGCTTCAACCACTTTTCCTAAACAATAATTTGAAAGACAAAACACTATGTACTTTAGACATTTATTCAACCTCCTTATATAAGCACCTTTCTAGAATGCCATTTAGAAAAGTCTACATTTTAATTGTCTTGTTAAAATATTATCAAGTTCACCAAAATAATCCAAAATGAGGTAGCCTTGCATGCATTAGTTGACACTGGATATGTACAGAGGAGTCCACTAATCAAAGTAAGGATAGCCTAAGCATAATCTAACATACATGAATTAGTGTGTGTGTAAACAAACGTGAAAGGCATTTTAATCTCTGAGAAACTGTATCTCCACAAAGCTGATCAATATATCTGCTTGATTTTTTTTTCCCTCAGTGAACACACATGTCAGGACTAAAACTTAACAGCTTACCTATTGCTCACTTTGTGTAAGACAATTTTAGAGTAATCCAATCCATTCTGTATCAGAAGGTCTTATGCAAATGACATGGAATGCTGCCAAAACACAGCATGGGACCTGAGGTAGAGTTTTACTTTTATTTATTTTTTATTTTTTTATTTTTTATTATACTTTAAGTTCTAGGGTACATGTGCACAGCGTGCAGGTTTGTTACATATGTATACATGTGCCATGTTGGTGTGCTGCACCCATCAACTCATCATTTACATTAGGTATATTTCCTAATGCTGTCCCTCCCCCTTCCCCACCACCCTAGGACAGGAAGGGGAACATCACACACTGGGGCCTGTCGTGTTTTATTTTTATTATTGTGCTTCTCAGAATAAGTTATCAACTTAACTTAGCTACACATTTTCCTTCAGTGTGAGGTACACTGACCAAGGAGGCAGAAAATTGGGAGATCTATCCAATTTGCCAGTAACTATTTATAGGAGTGACACTTTATTAAAGAATTTACACTTTCTGTTTCCTTTAGAGTGTAGTATTCCATGATCTCTATGGGCCCTGCCACTTCTAAAATTCAAAGCAACTGAGTTTCCATTTTTCTTCATCATTTGTCATACCAACAAGGCCAAAACATAGTAAAAAATTGACATTTGAAAAATTTTGTAATGATTTTTACTTTGGGAAGTGATTTAAAAATCCTTTAAGTTAATCTTCAATAATTCACTAAGTGTTGGGAATCAGATTTTTATATTCAGGGACTATTGATGTGCTAATTGATATGACAATTAAAAACCAATACATTTTCAAATGGGCTCCTTTATTCAGCCATAATGTTGAATAGATATCTAACATGAGCTAATTTACTTACCTCCTTTTGGACCTCACCTAAACTATTACAGAAACAGAGATTTCAAATCTCATTTAGAATTCTTCAGAACTATTTTTAAAAGAACATTAAGTGTTTTTTTTTTTAAAAAAGGAATGCAAAGTGTGGATGACTTTTTATCTCTATGGACATATAGAGCATATGGTTAAATATTTTCAACATAGTAATCATTGGTCTTGAAAAGACCTAATAATAAATTGGAATACATTAGCTCAAATTGAAAACTTTATTTGCAAATGTTGCTTGCTTTTTGTATTAGTCTGCTCAGCTATATTACACAATTGTGAAGAAAAGTCGGTCTATTCACTTTATCAAGTATAAATAGAAACCGAAAATACCTGTTCATGCGTGCATTCCTCTAGTCATGCGTGCCCTCACACACTCACTCCCACCCAGTACTGCTTTGTGGGTTTGGCTTATGCTGCAGTTCCTGAAATCCTAAATATTATGTACCAGCTGCCAGCAGGTGTCTGCAGGTGTTTGCCTACAAGAAGTTCATTGACAGTTTATTGCAGCAAGAGTACTTTCTCTGGTAGTGGAAATTAGCTGCAAAAACACTGCAGGCAAAGTAATGTTTTAAGGACAATGATGCTTCATGTGCTGTGAATTCATAATTATTTATTATCTGTCAGGCCAAGAGTAATCACTCTTGTGTGATATTTTTCCCATGGAAAAAAATAGTTATCAAATTCTAGTTTCCACAGTCATTGTCAGTGTACTGGAAGGACTGCAGCTGTACTAGAGTCTCATGGACATTTAACTTCTGACAGCTGTGAATGCTTCTTTGTGAATGCAGACTTGCTCTTTGACTCAGAGTTTCTGGAAGAGCTCCAAGATGCATTCTCAAGGGCCCCTGCAGCTCTCTGAGTGCATATTAGGAGAAGGTGGTCAGAAACATCATGAATTGCTAAGGTGGAGATATGCTTGTGCTTTCTTTTACTATACATGTATTTATTTCAACATTGATATAAATAGATGAGGTGATAGTGATGAACCTAATATTTACAAAATTTCAGTATTTGGAGATTCATGATTATGTCAAATCTTTTCATATATGATTATACTTTTATTGAGGAAATAATGATATGCACCAACACTCTTTTTTTGAGTTTTATGGAGATTCATGCCTAATCTTCATAACAAAATTGGACTACATGACATCGATGCTCAAGAAGATTGTCAGATGTTTAAAAATGAAGAGTAAAATTTAGCTATTTATAGGGTCTATTAGTCATTTGTGATTAATATTACCATAAGTTTTTTTTAAATTATTGAGAAACTTAGTTATGGGATTATCTTACCGCATGTATACTTTTGAAAAAAATAGAAAATATGTGTCACAAAATTCTCAATTCAAAATTATTTACATAACATATTTATGTCAGAAAGGATTATGAGTTTATGTGCCTAAACTTAAGCATGAAAGGGATTCCCCTTCAAATAAACTATTTTTGCATATTCCACTTAAGGAAAAAGCATACTGTATGTATACAAGCAAGTGTTGTTTTATTAACTTGTAAGTTAATTTTATTAATTTGTTAGAGTAATATATTTGAATTACTCTAACAATTTCTGGTAGTTAATAATATCCTTGATATTCCTAAGTTAGATCCATATAGAAACAGCCTATTTATAAATATATTCATGATCAGTTTAATATCAATTTTATTATTATAATTAAAAGAGCAATAGTATATGTTAATATTTTGAAATGTATTTTCGCTGTTTCATTTCTCAAAATATATCTGACATGATAGAAATGATGAATCACTTAGAAAGTATCCTTATGGAGACTAATTACTGAAAATAAATGTATCTTTTGTTTGTTTTAACTGATAACAAAGTTCAAAGGTATTAATTTGAACTAACATAGGTAAGGCAAATAGACACTAAGAGTTTGTGTAATTCATAGCATAGTCTGCTATCTACTGTCTGTATGAAATATGGAATATCACCAAGTACCTTGAAACTCAGCATTTCATCTGTAAGTAATAATAACATCTCATGAAATCATTATAATAATGAAATGAAAAAATGAGACAATCTACATAAAATATCTGGTAATAGTAAATGATTATATGTATGTATGTGTATGTTTTATTTACCTTTGACTTTGAATTATAAATAAAGTGTGCATTGCCTGTGAATGCTTGTGTTAACCGTAGCTGAAGAAAGTCACATTATGCCGGGTGCAGTGACTCACGCCTGTAATCCCAGCACTTTGGGAGGCTGAGGCTGGAGGATCACAGGGTCAGGAGTTCGAGACCAGCATGGCCAACGTGGTGAATTCCCGTCTATACTAAAAATATAAAAATTACCCTGGCGTGGTGTCACATGCCTATAATCCCAGCTACTCGGGAGGCTGAGACAGGAGAATTGCTTGAACCCAGGAGGCGGAGGTTGCAATGAGCCAGTATCACGCCACTGCACTACAGCCTGGGTGACAGAGCAAGACTTCATCTCAGAAAAGATAAAAAATCATCACATTACATATCAAAAAAGTTCAGTCAAATGGATTCCTATTATGAAGGACAAATGAATTTAGGCCTACCTTTCTCTACGTAATACATTACTATTAAATGCTACTATATCTATGCTATAGTGAAATATTTTTAAATATGAAAATACTCAGATGTCATGAATAAGCGGTAGTTTAATTGGTTAAAGTCTGTTTGTATAGCAGTCACTACTCATATAATAAAGCAGTTGAAGACCTAGATTGATTTTAGAATGAATCATGCATCTCATACTGGTGATTTAAATCAAAATTGGTTATTTGTTCATTGAGAATTATAATAATCAATTAAAATTGCAGCATACATCATAGCATGCTACAGGACAATAACTATAAATTTTGTGTCACTATAAAAATCTTCATTAGATTGATGGAATATTTTTAATCGAAAAATAAAAACGCATCATGTACTATTAAACAAAAACTGAGCTGGCACAGGTGTGTTTTTCAGAGGTAACCTTTCATGAATTTACCATCCAGTTACCAATATCTGTTTAAATAAAGATCACTAGTAGAATAAAATGGGCTGAGTGTGGTGGCTCATATCTGTAATCCCAACATTTTGGGAGCCCGAGGCGGGCGGATTACAAGGTCAGGAGATCGAGACCATCCTGGCAAACACAGTGAAACCCCGTCTCTAATAAAAATACATTTAAAAAAAAAAAAAGTTAGCCGGGCATGGTGGTATGCGCTTGTAGTCTTAGCCATTCGGGAGGCTGAAGCAGGAGAATCGCTTGAACCCAGGAGGTGGACGTTACGGTAAGCCGAGATCACGACACTGCACTCCAGCCTGGGTGACAGAGCAAGACTCCATCTCAAAAAAAAAAAAAAAAAAAAAAAAGAATAACTTAAAATCTGCAAGTTAAGATTAATAATAATTATTTAAAAAAACAAAAAAAAAAACTCTTTTTGAAAGACAGGATCTCATTCTCTTTCCCAGGCCAGATCATAGCTCACTGCAACCTAAAACTCTTGGACTCAAGGCACCCTCCTACTTCAGCCTCCTGAAGAGCTAAAACTACAGGTGCACACCACCACACTCAACTACTTTTCTTTATTTTTATTTTTGTACAGATGGGG